TTATTATTATCATTATTATTATTATTATCATTATTATTATTATCATCATCATCATCATCATCATCATCATCACTATTGATTTTGTTATTATTATTTTAAACCCTGAACACTTCTCTTCCTGCAGTCTCTGAGGCGTTCCTCTGATGTGGTCCTAAGGATCCATCTTGGAGCTCCGGACCAGACCCAGGCCCTGAAGACCCGTCAGAACCTCCTGATGGAGACCATTCAGGAGGTTCTGCTGACGACTCGTGACCTTTGACCTTCAGCTGCAGAGATGAGTGTTTGTGAAGTGAAGGAGGAGTTCTCTGTGAGGAAGATGAAGCTTCCTCTTCATGGCTCAGGAGACCACAACGGGAACGCTTTCCCCGTCTCCTCCTCCTCCTCCTCCTCAGAGTCCCTGCCCGGTGGCCCGCTGGACTACGAGCTGCTGGAGGTCACCCTGATGACCTCGGACACGGTGGACGTGCTGCTGTCTGAGTGGGAACCGCAGGGGGCGGGGCTTAACCATGATGATGAAGAGGCTTCGTTGGGAACCGTTCCAACTGAAACGTCTRTTTACCTGGATGCAAACACCTGGACCCATGACCTGACGCTGTCCCTGAACACAAACAGTGGTTACCATGGCAACAGTGAGGATGACAACCGCGGCTCCTCCACACCGGACTCTGACGCCACGGAGATCCCTGCTGCTGCTGCTGCTGCTGCTGATGATGATGATGATGAGGAGGAGGAGGAGGAGGAGACTCTGTTTCTGTCGGTCAGCTCCAACATGTGTGTGATGCTCACACAGGTAAAGCCAGGTGCTGAAGGGGCGGAGCTTCAGGACTGGACCTGCTGTGCCCTGAATGCTGCTCCTGGTTCTGCACCTTCATCCTACAATCCTCTTCCTCCTGCTGAGGAACCAGAACCACATGAGACCCAAATGGCACCAAGACCCAAAGCATGTGGTCCGAAACCGTCCAGCCTGGAGGCTAAGAGGGTCCCCAGACTGGACCTGAGACCTGCAAAGACTAAGGCTGGACCAGGGACCAAGTCTTCTCCATCTAAAGCTCCTCGTCAGGTACTGTGGTTCTGAACGGGTTCTGATGGGACACCATCAGGTTCTGATCAGGTTCTGATCAGGTTCTGATGGGAGTCTTCATCAGCATCTTTTCTGACCTCTTGTTTTCTTCTCAACAGAACAAACCGGTTCTGGTCGGAGGACAGAGACCCGGTCCTCAGAAGGACTGTGGAGCGAAGAAGAACTCGTCTGAAGGTCCGGTCCGCTCTGTCGTCCTGAAATCCAACAAAGAAAAGAATTTAAAGTCCAAAAACCCAGAAGATCCTGAGAGCAGAAAGATGTCAGTCCACTGTCTGAGGGACCAGGGACAAGGACCCCCTCCTGCGGGGGACCAGACCGGACCTGAGGAAAAGGAGCAAGCAGACGGTCCTGTCAGGGTGAGAACTGGACCGAGGGTCCAGTAGATGCTTCATCAGGAAAAGCTTTTTTTTCTTTTGCAGTTTTTTAGTTTAAATCTGATAAAACCTGAAGTTACAGATGAAGCAGCTGACCTCTGACCTCTGGAACCCAACCTGCAGCTCAGAATGTGGGCGGGGCTCAGGGAGAAGCTCAGAATGTGGGCGGGGCTCAGGGAGCAGCTCAGAATGTGGGCGGGGCTCAGGGAGAAGCTCAGTCTCTGGATGTTTGTTGAAAGTTCAGACGAGCCTCAGCGTGTTCCTGACAGGCTGCCTCAGGGTCCAACTGTCTGCTTCTGATCCAGTCCCTGCAGGTTCTGATCCGATCACCCTGACTCTCTTTAAAATGACAGAATCAAACTGTTGGTGGTGGTGGCGRCCATCTTGGATGGGGCAGTTGAGGAGAATCATGAGGTCTTTTGCTTCCTGCAGCAGGAGCACAGCAGCTGGATCAGGACTGGATTTGTGGTCCTGATGAGTCAGCAAAAGAAGTCTGTGATCTGAGAGACTCCACAAGCCCCCTCATGTTTATAGAGCTGGGGTCTAGGGTCTCCCCCTAGGCCCTATGATGTCTCAGATGGAGACCCCCCTGTCTCCATCTGAGAGGAAGAACTGATCAGAACCGGGTCTGTCAGGGGGAACATTCTGCACAAAATCAACTTTTTTTCCCTCTTGTGGTCACAGCAGCCCCACACTGCCTGCTCTCTTTCTCCTCTGCTCCTCCTCCCCTCCTCCTCCCCTCTGCTCCTCCTCCTCTCTGCTCCTCCTCCCCTCTGCTCCTCCTCCTCTGCCCCCCCTCACGGTTCTGACTTGGCTTGTGGCGAGCGCCATGGTGTCTCTGCACGGCTCTGAGCTCCGGCCCCCTGGCWGGGACCCCCTCTCTAAACAGCGGCTCTTCTTACAGAGGGTCTCCTCCAGGACCGGACCCGAGGCCAGGCAGCAGGACCGGACCACCAGGGTTYCTCTAGGATCCAGGACCAGACCTCCAGGACAGGAGGGAGAAACTGCCCAGAGTTCTGCTGAAGGAACCAGAGAGGGACTGGACCAGGACCAGGACCAGGACCAGAGTGAGTACCCCTCAGTGTGTGTGTGTGTGTGGAAACATGGACCCAGTCTTCAGAGCTGGTTCTCCTGCTGCAGGACTCAGAACACTGGTTCTGTTTTCCTGCTAGACTGCAGAGGAGGTCCAACATAAAGGTTCTGTTCAGGCACATCAGTGTGGGTCAGACCGGGTCAGACCGGGTCGGTCTGTGGGTGTAAACAGGTCTTTGTCCTCAAAGGTCAGGTTCTGCAGGACAAAGCTGGTCTGTCCTCTGAGACACCTGGACTTCACAAGTTTCTGTTTGCATCAGAACCTGACAGAACTGATCTGGACCTGGCCAGGTTCTGGTTCTGAGTTTAAATGAAGAGAARCAGAGAAGTCAACAAGTCAGATCCTGCTGAAGACTGACAGCTGAAGTTTGGACCGCACTGGGTCCAGCAGAACCAGGATCCCGAACACGGTAGCTGGTCTACAACAGAACAGGTTCAGGTTCTGCACCAGTCCAGAACCTGAACCTGTGGTGGACCTTCAGAGAGTTGAGCAGATACTGTGAAGTTCTGCTGCTGGATGAGGTTCTGTTGGACCACGAGCTGGAACCAGTGTTGACTGGTCCAGAACCGGTCCAGAACTGGTCCAGCACTGGTCCAGAACCGGTCCCCTCCTCCTAATCTGCTGGTTTTACCTGAAGTCTGTGAGGAAACCTGATCCAGCTGCTCTGAAAGCAACTAGAGCCAGATGTTTCCTGGTGTGTGTGTGTGTGTGTGTGTGTGTGTGTGTGTGTGTGTGTGTGTGTGTGAACATGAGGTAATGTTTCCACTCTGAACAGACCCTTTTCTTGCTGCAGCTCTTGTGAATGTTTTCCACAGTTTCAGGAGGAAGTACGGTGGCCCTGAAGGGACAAAAACAAAACAAAATCTTGTCAAACTTCTGCTTCTTTCTGGTATTTTTAAAGTTTAATTTTAATTCTTGTTCTGATATTTTAGATTGAAAATATTTTMTTTATTGTTGATGTTTTTATTTATTTCCTTAATTTTTGTTTGTCCCTCTGGGCCACCGTAGCTCAGCTGTTGGATGTAAAACCACTAAATGAACCTTTAATTTGAGGGAAAAACATGAGGTTTTATTGCAATGACTGTTTTATTTAAAGATGTTTGGTTTAATGATTCAGAATCACTTTATTATTTTAAACTTTTGAAACATTTAGATTTTATAGACTCCAGCCACATGGATAAGTCTCTCAGGACTCCTCCACCCTTCATCACTGTGTTGGTGAGGAGGAGGAGGAGGAGGAGGAGGAGGAGGAGGAGGCTCACTGACTCTTCCTCTGTTGCTTCATAAAGAATTTGTGACTCAGGTCTGAGAAATGAGCAGTGATGCAACGTTTCTGATCCAGATCTGAGTCTGAAACTCTGAAAACATCCAGCTGCTGCCTGCAGGAAGACTTTTAAAATCAACACTTCAGGGTTTTTTTCTCTGTTTTTAATATTAAACATTATTTTCATCAGTTTGTCTCCTTCCTGTCTCAGGTGTCCTCTCAGGTGTCCTCAAACCTCGCTCCAACCCTGAACCACCATCCTCCATCACTCTCAGCCCTGCGGCGTTTCATCCCAAACCCTCAGCCAATCAGGGGACAGCAGGACAGCTGGCGACGCCCACAGCCTCCAGACTTCCTGTTAAAGGTTTCCTGCCAAGCTGCTCGTCAGGAAGCATCAAGAACAACGCAGCCAGTAAAGGTGATGATGTCACTTCCTGTCAGGACAGACGATTAAAACTGTGCTTGGCAGGACCAAACCTGTAGGTCTAGACTGGGTCTAACATCCTTTCTAGACCCTGCAGATCTAGACTGGGTCTAACACCCTGTCCTGACCCTGCAGGTCTAGACTGGGTCTAACACCCTGTCCTGACCCTGCAGATCTAGACTGGATCTAACACCCTGTCCTGGCCCTGCAGGTCTAGACTGGCTCTAACATCCTGTCCTGGCCCTGCAGGTCTAGACTGGATCTAACACCCTGTCCTGGCCCTGCAGGTCTAGACTGGATCTAACACCCTGTCCTGACCCTGCAGGTCTAGACTGGCTCTAACACCCTGTCCTGGCCCTGCAGGTCTAGACTGGATCTAACACCCTGTCCTGGCCCTGCAGGTCTAGACTGGCTCTAACATCCTTTCTAGACCCTGCAGGTCTAGACTGGGTCTAACACCCTGTCCTGACCCTGCAGGTCTAGACTGGATCTAACACCCTGTCCTGGCCCTGCAGGTCTAGACTGGCTCTAACATCCTTTCTAGACCCTGCAGGTCTAGACTGGGTCTAACACCCTGTCCTGACCCTGCAGGTGTAGACTGGGTCTAACATCCTTTCTAGACCCTGCAGGTCTAGACTGGGTCTAACACCCTGTCCTGACCCTGCAGGTGTAGACT